AGTTTCGAAAACTTTTTGATTGCTCTCTTATTTATCGACAAAATATATTTTGTCGATAATTAGATAGAAGAGAAGCATATGAAATGAGACATATAAAAATGAATAATGAAAAAAAATAGATGAAAGATAAAAATAGGTTAAATATTCAATCATCATCATTATCAATTAAATAATTAAAACATCTTTTTAAAAATAGGATAAAGAAGAGTAGTTTATCTATGTTGATGTGAATGTATTTAATTTACATCACTCTGAAAATGTGTGAATATGTAAATATATATCATATAAATTTTTTTTTTAAGTATTAATATTCTGATTTTTTGTATGATATTTTGTATTGGTATTTGAAAATATGGGAATATGAAACAAAATTCTAATTAAATTTTAAGTGCATCAATGATATTTTCAGCTTGTTTAATATTGTAATATTAATAACAAAGTTTTTTTTGTTATTTTGTTTTTTATTTTTTTACAAACAATAATACGTGATTACAACTAAGTACATACATTTATGGGTTTCAAAAATAATTTTAAAAAATATAAAGTATTTAACATTTATTTCATTATTTTAATTGCAAAAATATGAAGCTAACAAAATATAAAACAGCAATGATATTTTCATTTGACCAATTATTTTATCATATCTTCAAGTATCTAATTAAAATATATAAAATCTGTTGTTATATATATAACACTAAGTGGAGAAAGAAAGATATTATTTTTTTCCTCATAAGGATGTTAAGAGGATAGAGAGTCCAACGAGACCAACTAAAACAAACAAACAAAAGTCAAGAAAGCAAAATTCAATTGAAATAAAAATGCTTTTAGATTTTTGTAACTAATTTGATAAAGATTGATTAAATGTATTAATCTGTTATCAGTAATAATGTATTATATATCTATATATATATTTATATTTATACCTATATTTATTATATAAAACTATTTATGTGATTGACGTATTCAAAATTTGATAAATAATTCAATATATATAATATATTCTCTAAATTTTTCTAATATATTATTAGTTAATTATATTTTGAATGTAGATAATGCAGAAACATTCTTAATAAAAATATTTTTCTTAACAGATTAATAAATAAATTTCAATCTTATTCAAAATAAAGATAAAATTACATTAATTATATTTTTCAACTTATGTTTCAACTATTTACATATGTATTTATATGTATACATATGTATTTACATATGTATTTATATACATATGTACATTATTATAATTATATGCAATTTCTACAAATATCCAGAAAGCCAGATATAAAAATAAATTTGTTTCTCTATAATATATATGAATAATAGGCAATGGTTTTATTGTATTCTTATGACTTTCAGTAAAGTATTCTGAATATAATACAATGGAAACTATATGAGAATCTATATAAATTCATAATTGGTGCACAATTTGGAATTAAACAAAATGGAATTAAACAAAAATCATAAATGGAAAGAAATAATTTATTTCAAAGATTATTCTATAATGTGATCATTATATATATATACATATACAAGTATTCTAATGAAGAAATTTACTTTGTGATTATAATAAAACAATATATACATATAAACAAATAAAATAATATATAATACTTATTACAAGATTATATATATGAATAATTGTTTAATTAAATTAATATATTTCTATTATTAAATATGAGGTGCATTATGAAAAATGAAATAAAAGATTATCTTAAATAAATCTTAAATAAAAATAGAATATAAAGCTATTATAAGATTATAACAACATATTTTACACAAGATTTGAATTCTTCGCAAAATGCTGATTATTGTGTTTATTAAATATATATAAATATATTTAAAAAAAAATTTTAACATATTTGAACTAAGAAAAATCTCTATCATTTTTAATGTCAAGTTATTTTTAAATTAGTTTAAATAGCATTATTATATATGCATATAATACAGCAATTCAACCAGAAGCTCAATTCATTTCAAATTATTGAAATATTATAATTATATATGCAAATTTAAAAGCAAATGAATTTTTTAACCAAAAATGCAATACTTTAGGTAAAATTCCATTTGCAAGTTGAAAGACACTCGAAAATGCAATTACTTCACCTCGCATACGATTGTAGTGTTCGATGCATCAGTTTGCTGAGTAGTATTAAACTGGACTAGAACTAATTCGTATGTAACTATGGTTCCTGCTACCTGAAATATAGTAATTAATTTGTAAATTAAACATTTCAGATTGGATATCAATATATGAATATTATATCTATACATATACATACAGTCAATACGAGACTTCTGGTCACTGAAAAGAATTTCATACCGGTCAAGCAGATGTTATCTGTCGTTACTTGTGACAGAAATCTCATTACCTATAAAAATAATAAACCAATTATATATATTATACGATATAATTATACAAATTGATTAAGATTGAAATTTTACTTCTGTGGAGAAACTGCTACTGGAAACACTATAGAGAATCGGTGCCGGAAGTAAAGATTCATCGTGAATCGTCGCAGCACACAGTGAAACTACTGTTGTTCTAGCCAAAAGGAATCCAAAGGAGAATCCAAAATAGATTTTCTCGATAATACCTCGCATCGGGCTGTTCAAACATTTAATAATTATCCTATGTCTATTTGTATGACATATAGTAATTAGCAATATTAATCACATAAAATGATGGAAATTAAAATTGAAGATTAAATTTTTAAATAGATTAAAAAAAATGTGTAGATCAAAGATGGGAAATGATAGAAGAGAATTACATAATAAATTACAATAGATATTTATGTAATAGTAATGAAACGACATGCATAAATAAATATTTCTGTGATGTATACTTGAAAGAGAAAAGTAGTTGTATGCAGATGAAATATAAGTCCGTGGCGAAAGATAGGAGAACCATAATGGAAATATGGGAGTCCAGTTGTCTCGTTAAGGTTGCCAAATGGTTGTAGTCACTCCTTGCCTCGGCCCACCACCATTCCGGCATTGCCTTAACAATGAAATGATACTAACGACCAATTCGTCATTAGAAACAATAATATAAATTGCTAAACTTTATAATATTTTAATTAGAGCAATCATACAAGAAATAATATAATTTTTTAGCATGTGACAAAAAACAAAGAGAATAAGTGAGAGAGAATGATAGAGAAAAAGTGAGAGATTGATAAAAGAAATGAGTAAAACATTATTAATAAAATTTTACTATTAGTAAGTCGTCAGAAAATAAATACATAATAAAAAATATACAATAGAGAAATATTATAACCGCTTACCTTTCCTCTTATAGAATACAAGCGGCTGTTTAATTGTCGAAATTGATCCGTTAGAGCGATGCTGATAAGAATGAGAAACAAATCCACAAAATTCCATGAAAATGTACTGAGGATATTAATGATATCTACCAATATTCCCTTCCATAAACTGTATGAAGTTCTAGAAAATATCTAATTAAATATAAATTATTATTTTTAGAACATTTTCTCTTCTAAAAATTTAATTTTTTTTTAAAACGAGATCAGTTTGTAAAAATATTCGAAGGAAAATTGCTTTTACCTGTGGAAATTGCATCTGGAAATACACAGCAAGAATACTCTGCTCTCCATGAAATTCAATGCATTCTTTCGCTTTGAAGTAACCGTGGATTATCGATAAACTGTGCTCAACTGCAAAAATTTATCGCGATTTTGAAAAAAATTAAGTTAAAAATATTTTTTTTTTGCGTTTAAAAAGAATTAATATAATATACGAACGAAAAATATCATTTACCTAATGCAAATGTCATTACCACTATGGTCACGATTTTGAATTTCATGGACAGACTGATTTTGGAAATTTTTCTATGTCTCTGTGAAAGCTCTTTCTCAAGCTTTTCCCAAGTTACCATCAAGCAGGGCCATCGCATAGCCAATTTTAAGAACAAGAAAGATGCGATCAAATTCGTTCCGTTGAAAACGAATGTTGCTTAAGAATAAAAATAAACGATAAATAAATGATTCGATTAAAATTAATGACGATTTAAAATTATGTTAAAAAAATTTTTATGAACTGATAAATTTTCGTTAAAATTATAAATAAAAATCTTACTCATTTTTATTGAACTTATCCCAGTTGTAACAATTCTTAAAACATTAAAAATGGTCATTATCGATGAACTCAGAAATGATATCGTGCAATATATAAATTTCGGGCTGCGCCAAGTGAATCTAAGTATAAAAAGAAGATAGATAACGATATTGAATTAATTTTTAATATACACGATATTTTTAATATCTCATTGAAAAAAAAAAAATCACCTAAGATACGACGCATCGGGACTATTAACCCCCGACACAGGGAATAAAGAAAAGAATTGGGCCAACATGATGATTGGTCTCATGGATGCGTGTAAACTGTCAGTCTTTGGATTAAACGAATTAGCAGAAAATGCTACTGGTTCCGACACTGAAAATTTAAACGAAATACTAAGTCAATTGAAACAAGCAATTCGAATTGAATATTAATTAGATTGAATTCGAATATTAGTAGAAATTTTCATAGAAATTTACTTCCGATAGTTTCTATTTCCGTTTTCAAATTGTCGAATTTGCCAAACTTTGAACTGCTCTTGGGCGACCTGAAAATTTAATTTATTTCAGAACGTAAGAGTAATTGATTGCAAAAATGGATCACGATTTATTAAGATATATATTTAGATACACATATTAAATTATTTTCAATTTTTTGAGCGCAAGAAATGAAGTTTCACATTCACTCGAAACGTCATTCAACATATATATAAAAAAAGGGAAAAAGAAAAGAAAAGAAAGTTAATCGAAGAATGGTAAAATTTCACATAGAATATTGGATCACAAGGATCTGTAAACCTTCTTCGAAGCGCGTCGCGACCAACGATATGCACAGCACAGGATCGCATGGCGAACAGAAGATAGACTCGTTATTTCAGAGTTTTATCATGCGTCAAAAGGGTGGAGAGTGTCTTATACATAGTTCCAGGAAACTCGATAAACGTTTGCTTGAACAACCATTAAAGAAATCTGGCTCAATGGGGTGGTGAACTGGTGGGCAATTGTAAAAATCCGTGACAGAGAAACGATTTATTCTCGTCTCTTATTTGCGGTCTTATAGAAGAATCTAGATTCGTTATCTAATTATATGTATATTACAATTACAAATCGATTATTTAATTTTTATTAGTGATGCCATGGATTATTATGAATATAATCAACGCAAAGTTATTGTAATTGAGAAAGATAATAAAGAAAAAGAAAAACAATAGAAAAAGTGCAAGAAATAGAAATATTGTTTTATACGTACTTAATATTGAATAATAATGTATTTTGATACTTGACAGCTGGCGCATTCAATGGCCGCATTCCATCTAAGTTTTTCCCTGTATTATCGTAAATCGACATTTTTACACCATTTCGTTTAACGTTTAAACATTCAATACCGATCCAGCAACAAGAATAATATCACAAATAGCGCGTAAAGCGACGACGAACCATCATCATCATCATCATCATATCAAGTTCAAACACTTTATCGCCTAAAAAAAAAAAAATAAAATATCCAAAAAAAAGCGCAATCAATCACAAAAGAAATAAATCGTAGAAAAGCGAAAACGGCACGACTCGTTTTTTGTAGTACATGCGTGAAACATATCACGATGAAGTTTTATAAAGCGGCCTAAGATCGTTGAAACTGGGATAGGTGTGACGAGAAAATAAAGGAAAAATTAAAAGGGTGGGATTACAAATACAAGGTATACCACGTGATGAATATATACGTATTCTTCGTGTAGAACGTGTCATGAAATGAACTAAAAGATATACGACAACACAAGTTATATATATCGTATAGCGTGTATATTAACTATGACAGAGAAGATATGTGCACTATTGAGACTATTACAGATATGCACTACTGAGTATAGGTTTATGTATGAATGGACATTTGACACACTTGCCGCAAATAGTGGCTCGATGGCGATACATCCTATCGAAGGTACTCAATGGATTTCCCTATTCGAATATTCGAATCCCCATCCCCGGTTTGATCAGTTCTTCGATTAAAATTCATACTTCGTTTTGGTTTCTATTATATTTCATATGATCAGTTTGATACGAAGTTCGATATAGAGTTTATTTCAAAGCTAATATAATAGATAAGAAAGGATGATGACTGGCCTACAAACACGGATATGTGTGTATATATCTTTGATAAAACAAGAAAACCCTTTTTATGAAAAGATAATGTAGTCATGATTATCATCGTATAGCGTTAATAAAGTATGATTTAATATTTTCTATCTCTTCTTTTTTTTTTTTTTGGAATATCGTTATTATTATGAATATATGTATTATAAATATATGTAAATGCTCGTTCTGGAGAAAGTATCCGTGAAGTGACGTTGTTTTTTTTT